TCATCGCAGAACTCCAAGTCTTCGCCCGCCGAGTCTGTTGCAAAGAGACGCAAGCGTCAGTCCAAGGGTGGGAGGGAGATTCCAGCCGCCGTCATTTCGGAAGTCTTGGAACCGGCCAAAGAGCATGGTACATCGCAAGAACATATTGCGTCAAGTCACGGCCCAGTTGATGTCTCGGGAACCACTGAGTCTTCACCTCAAAAGCGGAGATCGTCCCGTCTAGGAGGTCATGCAGCACCGGCCATCGCGGAAGAAAGTCCGTCTCGGAGGCAATCACCACGTACTGCGCGCTCCCGGAAACAGGCCAAGAACAAAGAGCTTCTCTTGGAGAGCTCTTCTCTTAGAAAGGTAGAGGCTAGTGCAACTGATTCTGTGACGGGAACGCCTGCAGCAGAAATTTCTGATCAGAATTTGACGCAAATCCGGGAGTTGACCCAGGAGGCATCTGGTCATGGCAGCGATCTTCCAGAAATGATTACACCTGATGCATCAAGACAGCCAAGCACTGGCGGCTCCGGTGATACCGAGATGGTCGAAGCAGACTCAGCGGCCGAGCCAGACCCGGCAGACGATCATGCTCAAGTCGACGCTGCTCAGACAAGCACTGATGTTAACGATCATGCCTCCGAGGACAAAGCCATGATTTCCCATTCCGTCCAGACAGGTACCTTGGTCGGCCAAGAAGGCGTAATATCCTCTTTACGAAGGGTACTTGACGATGTCAAATCAACCACCCTGAATTTGTCCGGCCTGAAAGCGATCGACGATCTCCTATTCGATATTCGGGTGGAAATGCACGAAGCATTGAGAAGACATGCAGGGTAATTTCTTATTTGCATAGCGCTGGCGTTTCATTTATATCTTTTGTATCTACCATCCTCCTTTCTTTTCCTGTTTTGGCAATAGTCGTTTGGAGGAAAGCCGCTATTACAACGTTTCTCTGGTCAGTTTTCCAGGTTGGTCTGTCTGAGTGTGGCCTTTCAGGGATTGGGGCAAACGGGCTGCACAATGCAGTAGTATAAATAGAATTTCATCCATTGCTTTGTTTCCAGGCAGGCGATCGTTCAAGATGTAGAGAGGCCCGGACGAGGTAAACGGAGTTCGACTCCTTTGTCTAGAATCAGTGTGCATTCCTAAGTTGTCCTCGATTGAGGTAAGCAGGGACATTATATACACTATGGTCCACCTTTGATACCCTGAACGACAATACATCGCCAACTTCACAGCGACTACTCCACGAATAGTCCATCGGAGATACAGAAGAAAGGACCCTGACACTTCCCTCGAGTAGAAGAGCATATACAGCAACCGTCTCCATGTCAGCACGCCTGGGCATGATCTTGGCAGGATTTTGTGGCATGACTCCGCCCGGGTACTGACGTCCTGCTCAAGAGCCATCCATAAGCAGGCAGTAGTCTACTCAGTACGAGAGATCTGCGGAATTCTTGCATGATTTGTAGATAGCGTCGCCCTTGGTAGGACACTCCCATTCGTGCGTGATGCCCCGTGACAAGTGACACGCACGGCTGAACCCAGAGGTCGAGGTAAACGTGGCTTAGCCGCCGGTCGGTGAGACATGGCTGCTGAAGGATCGCTCCGCTGGCGAGAGTGGCCAGGCTCGCGTAGCTGTATCTGCATGTATCTAGACGCTGAAACCTTCTTTCTTGGCCTTGGCATGCCGCATCACGCGCCTGGCCACTCGGGGTCATGAGGATATTGACTTGCTTGAATAGTCGGTGAACTTCTGAAGTCTCGAGATCAAAGGGTGACATTTAAAATCACCTTCGCGTAGCATTTGCGTTTCTTACTGTGGTAGTAAAGATAGTTCCAGTTCAATGATCCCCTCTCATCATCTGGGATGGCTGACCACTCAGTCGAGTACTCGTCCTCGACCTCGTCTTCCACGCCTCTGGGATATATTGCGCCTCCCGATCGTTGTGTTTCTATTCCTCCTCGTCTGGTCCGTCTGACGTCACCTATCTCGTTGTCATGTATTGATTTAATTCAAATTAGGGCAGTTATCACCATAAGATATCGAATCCACAGACGGGAGCGAGAAACAAGGCTCCGCAGAGACCTCTACTTCCCGGGAAGAACAGTAATCGCCGATATCGATATCAATAAACACTTCCCGCTTGTCAAGCTCAATATCTGGAGGACACTGCGCTGTGGAAAACAAGTCCCCGGGGCAGAGAGCGACGCCCCGGATCCGAGCCCGTGTTCTATTTGCATGGAACAGTTCAGGGACGATGAGGACGTCCGGCCGCTCCCTTGCAAGCACGTTTTTCATCCGGCCTGTGTGGATCCGTGGCTGACGAGATATCACACCTCGTGTCCTTTGTGCAGAGTCAGCTTGGTAGAACATGACGGGAAGTTGGATCTGGAGGATGGGAGACGACCTCGGTTTATGGGTATGCCTGTGCATCCCCAGCCTGCGCTGATCAGTTTTGCAGGACGATTTGGGTGAGGTCCTCATGTATATTAGATGGTCACTCTTTCTCTCTTTGTCCAATTTTATGTGTCATGTTAGTCTAGCGGGAGATGGTTCTATTCCAAGCATCGCAATGGGCGTCACAGAAATGAGCCTTCTGGCCTAACTTGGTGGATTCCGGGGTTTAATGGTATATTCAGTTATTCTACTATTTGTCTTGATCAACTCTTTGAGGTTCATTCATTCTATTTTCAGGATTAAACCCTCCATTCCCCCGTCTGGTAACTGGCTATTCGCCCTGGTGAACACGATCTAGATCGTGATTCCGATGCATTGTTATCCTTGGTCGATCCAGCTTCAAGATCGACTTGCACACGTCCCTTTTTCACACATTCTCGTTGGTAGTCCCATTCATCCAAGTCTATTTCCTGGAGCTCTGCTGAGTTTTCCAGGTGTTCACAGGATGGTTTGGCGATTGCTTCCTTGCTTGCTTCTCGTCCATCCAGTCTGAGGGACGGAATAAGCTCCTTGATAGCTCGTCGATATCCGGCTCCTTTGGTCTTGAGGACACGGTTGAGAGTAAACGAAGGTCGCGACTGTGAGCTTGAGGATTCCTTGCCGGCCTGAGCACCCTGCTGTCGGTACTGCCTGCTTCCGTTTAGGAATGCTTTCAGGCCGAATAGCTTGCGGAGCAGCGGCCATAGGCACATCAAGTTCGCCACATAAATTGCTGTGCTGGCCTCCCGAATATACCAGATCTGATACGTTGTGGTCAAAGGGGAGGCGAAATTGAACACTTTGTTCAGGATGGCCGCCACAATGGTGAATACGCCGAGGCTCATGATGCAGATAAGCAGTAGCTTTTTTCTCATCTTCATCTGTGCTTTAATGAGGAGCGGGACCGGGACCGCTAGCATAGCTGCATCCGACGATATGTTGAAGACAGCCTGGGTGATGGAGTAGTTCTGGTAGGTCGCACATTGCAGGTCCTTGACAGGCATGGCCCAGTACTGGGAGAATGGTCGGCAGTAGACGCCATAATAGGTGACCATAATGACAACGAACCCAACCGCAACATACACCGCGATTATCTTGACATAGAGCTGTAACCGGAGGTTCTTGGTCAACCGCCAGAACAGGGTCAACATGCAGATCTTGACTCCCCAGGTCGAGAACAGCATGCACTGTTCCAATCCAATGACGATCTTACTACCAATGATCCGGTCCTTGACTTCTTGAGGATTGGCTAAAACTTTGTCGTAGTCGGCTGGGTCCATCAGGTTCGTTGCATAACGGGCGGATATTTGGATCAGAATTAGTAGAGTCGTATAGATCAACTAGGATGAGATGGTTGCCATGTCAGCCGTTTGCGATAGAGGACGAGCAGACGGTCGACACTCACAAATGTTGCACTCATGACATAGTCATCAACTATTGCACTTTACCGTTAGTAGCTGTGATACGGGTTGGCGCAAACCTACCGGGACATACAGTATAAGCGCTTGACCGATCCATTTGAGATAACACGAGATATCCTTCGCCTGATCAGACATTTACTACCTCTCAAAGGCGTCTCAGCGTACGTACATTCTACCAACGTAGAGGACAATCGCAATGCTCCAGAAAATGACGGACTCCGTGAGCAGCTGGTGTGGAGTGGGCGACACGTTCCCCATCGTGACAATGGAGCGCAACAGATGGGCAATCCGACAATGAGTGCTATTGCTCATCCGAAGCAAATAGCTTCAGTTCGTACGCAACGTCAAGGTTGCATCGCCGTTTACTGGTTTTAAAGATCGAGCCCTATCAGCCATTTCACTGTGAGCCATGATGTCTCAGGTCTATCAAATGGTCCGCGTATCCAAACATTGATTGACCGCATTATCATCCTGAATTTTTGTCAGACCTGAAACGATACAGCTCGCAGTCCCTCATTTGATGTCTGTCGTAATTTGTCAGACTCAAGGCCCAGATGAAGCAAGGGAAGAAAGGGAGGGAAGGGAGAGTTCAACGCAAGGGACGCGGGGACCACAGGTCGTAAGGACCATTGGCCACATCCACGCTCAGAGAAACGTCCATTGTTCAGCAACACTGTTTGAGTGCATTCTTCCGCATCAAAGAATGCTTGAATGTTTCCCAACTCCGGCAACTCGAGCTGCGACTCCGAGCAGGATGACAGGCTGGGGAGCACGAGCCACGAAATTGTATGACCCGCTGTTGTCGTTCCACTCGAATCATGTTCCATTATTTATCTTTGAGTCCTTATCTCCCTTGCACGTCCAATCAAAGCCTTTTCAAGTGAGGGAGGTGGTTGAATGCCATCACAAGCGTTTGCCGTCTTAAGCGCAGACAAGGCCACTTGGAGAAATATCTGCATAGTTCCCCATCAAGCGTCTGTAAGCGAGATTTCCTCCCTGGGTTGATCTCTTCTGAAACCAAGGGTATTCGAGGATCCAATTTCGCATGTAAGGTCTCCGGCACTACGACATCTAGGTGACGCGTTTGCGCCCAGGCCCGAACAGGGTTCGCTTGTCCTTATGACTTGCGCAAGACGGTCAGGATCGTCATAATGGCAAGCTTAAATCAAATAGAACGCAAAGTAGTCTTCGATCGTGCGTTCGGAACGCTCAGTGGTAAGTTATTCCACGCTTTGCTTTCCTAGCAGGTGCTCACATTGCTCACTTGGGCATGCACAATAGCCGTGTTTGTGATCGGTTGATATCAAACTTCTTCAATCATCGTCAGTCCATTTGTCCAAATAGCGGTCAGGCATCGATTGGAGTCATTCATACATGTCTCGTACCAGCCAAAGCATTCTCCAGTATGTAAGGCTTCATTGCCAGATTCAATCTCGGTAAAGGCATATTTCTCCACAAATTGTTCAGGAGAAAAAGAGGGCAAATAACCAACATGGCAGAACCATGTACATCATCTCATGAGTGGTTTCAAAGAGTCATTCTTTGCCAGTACCTCAGGTAGAGAGGCTCCGAAAGAGAGGAAAACCTCAAGCCAGGATTTCCAGCCACCTCTTCTGGAATGCTTTATCGCTCCGAGAACCACGCGTATGCTTAGCCAGTGGAGAAGTCCTGGAGCAACACCTCCGAACACCTCTCACTCCAAAGTCCAACGTAGTTATCTATGGCCGCAGGAGACCTTAGGTGCCAGTAGCTAAATCCAATTCAGAATTGAAGCTCATCTTTGCTTCGCGGGTTTTGTGGCAGCCCAGATGGACGATTACAAATGCTTCCTCTATCCAAGCAGGCAACGCTTTCCAAGAGCCCTGGGGCCGCCTGGTGTTGTGAGGCTGTGAGCTTCTAGGCTTGCGACAAAGAGTATAAAAGTGGTTAGCACGACAACAGATGATGATTATCCTGTCACTTAATCTCCCTTAGTCAGCAAACATTGGCCGAAGGAGGAAGGAAAACTGGACAATTGATAGGTCTCATCATTCATTCATGTGTCTCAGAACATAGAATCAAACTGTGTATCCGCAGTCACTGCACTTCCGTAGCTATCGCCCACAATGACGCAGCTGAATAATATCTCTTCAATGGAAACATCTCAACTCATTCGATTTTAGAGCTGACCTAGTCGAGTGAGAGAATTGAGTCCGGGTCTACCGTGAGCCTTGTGATCAATGATCGGATGCGATTTTTGGGAGAGCCACTCTCCCTTCGTGGATCTCTACTCAACTAGCTGTTCTAGCCAGCGAACGAGGACTCACCCGATTTCGCGATAAAATGCCGAAGCTGATGGTCTCCGTCCAGCTGCAGAACCTAGGACAACTCGTTTTCGGGGGGCATAGTCAATGAACATGGACGTCGTCCGATAGATATGAGGTCTTCGCAGACTCAACCAACGCAGTGAAATGCTATATTTTAGAATCAGCGATGACCTTGAGTTTGCGTCATGACTTGTCGAGCTTACAGAAGGGGCTCAACCCTCGTTGAGTATACCTTCCAGCCATAGAATCAACTGTGGCAATTCGAAGCTAGACCAGTCCTTTCTTGCATTATCTCGTCCGGATTATGATCCGATACGCCTGGAAAGGTTTCCCTAGAGGAAGCATATGAACACGCTGGCCAGGCGGAGAAGTCGAAGCCAGCTTGTACGTCGCTCCTTGGGACCGTGAGCGCTACGTGCGCCAAATCCATATCACCGGCGAGCGTCTCCAATTATCCGACGAACATGGTATCGGATGTACAATGGTCTCCTTGACTGTCCCCGGGATTCAGGGCATTGCGGACAAGACCGAGGCGGGGAAGACAGCAACTCTGGCGAACAACTGGATCACAGAGCAAATCAAGGAGCACCGAGACCGCTTGGGAGCTTTTGCCTGCCTGTCAATGCATGATCCTGTTCAGGCTGGGCAGGAGCATCGCCGATGCGTCAAGGATCTCGACTTTACGGCGCTTTGCTGTGTGATTACCAACATGTCGGTCCGAATGGCGAAACATACGTCTTCTACGACCAACCTCAGTACGATACCTTTTGGAAGGTCCTCATGGGGCCCGACATTCCCCTTTATACCTACCCTGCAGCACCTGCCGATGTGATCCTGGAAAAATTGTACAGTCAGCGTCCATTATTGATCGGATCAACTCTATCTTTCGCTAATGGAGTGAGTCTGGATGCTCTGGGATTGATCGGCAATGGCGTCTTGGACCGATTACCCACAGTTAAGGTTATCATCGGTCATCTGGGAGAACTCATTCCCTTTGACTATTGGCGTTTAAGCCACTCGTTCGAGGATGTAGAGAAGCCCATTGCTGAAGAGAAGGGCAAAGTCCTGTGCAAGAATACCGTTTATGATTATTTTAAGCAGAATATCTGGACCACCAGCGGACACTTTTCTACGGCGACACTCAAGTATGTGGTGGACGAGATAGGCACCGACCGCGTCCTCTTCAGCATCAACACCCATATGAGACCATCGAAAATGGCTGTGGCTGGTGGGATAATGGTGTGATGGCCATTCAGGACGCAGTGGGAGGAGGTGTATCGCTGCATCGGCCGGGACAATGCGAAGAAACTGCTGAAGTTGGGTGACTTTCACGATTCCGAAGCGCCTGTCAACTGAGCATAAGCACCCCTGGCAATTAGTGGATTTTCGGCGATTGTATGATCGAGCGTGATAATATGTAACTATCGCAATTACCTGCTCATTTCGAATAAGATTCATTCAAGTACAGTCAGTTCGACGACATACCTAGTAATCGGGCGAAGAAATGGTATAAACAAGGCTGCGAATTACATGAGTCAGTGACCAAAGCAAAGACGATAATATTGGACAAAGGTGATGATCCTAATAGTAGTTACTTTGGCGAAAGAGTTTGGAGAAGACGAACTTCATCGAGCAGCATGTGGTCCGGAGATATAAGTTGGTCTGCATCAGGTCACTGATCTTTATCGTCCTCTTTCTTGTCAGAGATCCACCCCATGCACCAGAAGCGTTCTCGTTTCTTTATCCAAATATGGAAATAGCAGAGAACAATCGAAGGCCAATGAATATACCCGAGAATGTGGACTCAGTGGCCAGGATCGGCAGGAAAATACTACCTGAGCTCCCCCTTGCGTGGGATCGCAAGAGCAAGTCCCCTTACCCCTCTAGCGGTTATAGCAGTAAGTACTTGCAGACGTTGTCAAAGATTCTGAGAGACTGTAGTCTCTTGGATTGTTCATCTTATTATGCCACAGCTCGTCAAATCTTACCATATCCCATGGCAACTCGGGGCATATGCTCGGGATGGACAACATGATATTCTACCGCTGGGCATGGCATCGGCGATATGTGACCAAGTAAGCCTACGCTGTTCAGATATGCAACCCACGTGGCGTCCATATGGGGGCAGCCACAACTCCTTGCATTGAGTAAGAGGTAAGAGTTAGGAGGTAGGTGGTTTAAGGAGCACATGCCACCGAGTAACTCACCTGTGGCACATCGAGAGCACCAGTCTTTGTTGTACAAGAAAGATTAGGCTTCTCTTCTCACCACTGCATCTCTTCACCCAATCAATTAGATGGATACTTCCTATGATCCCAACATGATGGACGATGCACATTTAGAGGCTGCCTTAGGACACAAGCAGGAGCTGAGAAGACACTTCGATCTCTTCAGCTTGGTCAGTCTCGGTATTGTCATTGCGAAGTAGGTCAAGCACAAGGCTGGCCATCTGCACAGTTTGCTGATGTTCGCGTAGCTCCTGGGCCGTTTCTGGAGGGACAATCGTTGCAGCTCTGCAAGATGGAGGCCCCATGGCAATACTTTACGGCCTCATACTTGTCAGTATATTCTATACACTCATATCCGCGTCCCTGTCCGAACTCGCATCTTCTATGCCATCGGCCGGGGGAGTGTATTATTGGGCATCGGTGTCGAACCAAGAATACGGTCGGTTTGTTGGCTTTTTAACCGGGTACCTGAATGCTTGTGCCTGGCTTCTGTCGGCTGCGTCGATTAGCTCCATGCTCGGAAATGAGGCTGTGGCCATGTACATGCTCCTCAATCCCGGCTCGCAATGGCATTCGTGGCAGGTGTTCATCGTTTTCCAACTGCTGGCTTGGATATGCTGCGCGATAGTTTGTTTCGGGAATAAACTCATCCCTACGTTGAACCGAGTTGCTCTTGTACTCTCTATGTGTGGTCTGTTGGTGACCGTCATTGTCCTCGCCGTCATGCCGAGAAAGCATGCAAGCAATGCTGAGGTTTGGAGAAGATATCACAACAACACCGGCGGTTGGTCGGATGGTATTTGCTTCCTCATAGGTTTGATCAACCCGGCCTTTTCAGTCGGAGTCCCTGACTGCATCACGCATCTTTCCGAAGAAGGTTAGTGATATTGCTCCTGAAGGCTACTACATTCCTGGGTAACAATGTTTCTACTTAGTTGTGAAGCCCAAAATCAGAGTCCCTCAAGGAACGATGCTCCAGATGTTAACTGCCTTTATCACTACTTTTGTCTACCTAATCGCTTTGTTGTACTCCATTGAGGACCTCGATGCGGTCTTACATAGCGAGATCTCGGCTTTCCCAACAGCGGAAATCTACCGACAAGCCACTGGATCCAGGCAGGGGGCAGTCGGACTGGTTGCGTTGCTCTTCCTGACCGCGTTTCCAACCTTAGTTGGAGTCTACATCACCGGCGGCCGCATGTGGTGGAGTCTTGCTCGTGACAACGCGACGCCTTTCGCCTCATACTTCAGTCATGTCCATCCAACACAGAAGAATCCAATCCGGGCCACTGTAGCTATGGCTGGTATGGTGAGTTTCCTGGGTTGCATATACATAGGCAGTACTACCGCATTCCAGGCACTACTATCGTCCTATATCGTGCTGAGCACTCTGTCCTATCTAGGGGCTATTCTGCCTCATGTGCTGACAGGCCGGAAGAATATAGTGCCTGGACCTTTCTACATGGGAAGAAAGGTGGGCCTGGTAGTGAACGGAGTGACTGTGGTCTATATTCTTGTTACTGTTGTCTTCTTTTGCTTTCCACTCACCCTCCCGGTCACAGTTCACAACATGAACTATTCGAGTGTTATTGCTGTAGGACTAGTCACTTTGACCGCGTTATGGTGGTTTGTTCGAGGAAAACGTGATTACAGGGGGCCGCAATACATCGCTGAAATCGCGCAAAGTCTTCCTGCCGAGTTGGATACAGAGAAGGGATTATCCTGACTGAAGAGCGCCCGGACCTGCCTGGAAACCATATGAGTGTTTGAATTTCTATCTCTCAAGGGCTGCAACGTGTAATAACAGCAATTGAAATCTATCCAAGGCAATGGGCGGAACCCAGCATAAGTCCAACAAGAATTACTTTCGATTGGAATCTTGAGGGACACTCTCAGACTGCAAGTTTGTTTAAGTTAGTTCCTTAAGGCATCACAAGAAATTCGCTATTCTCATTCTTCAGCAAAGGAGAAGATCAACCCGTCCTTGCATCTACAATCTCGGGCGAATTGACTGGCTCCCCTCCCAGGACTCGCCAGCCTCCAAGGTCTGCCAGCCAGCAACGGAACCAGCCTCGATGCAAATCATCTTCTTGTATGCATCGTCCGGGGCAAAATCGGCCATGCCCTTCGCCTTCTCGATCCAAGGGTTCCAAACAACAACATCGTTCAATCCCTCGCGTGTAACAGAGAAAATAGGCTTGTCGTCAGCGGCAGATGCCACGATGATGGGAACCTTAGGGTCCAATGCTTTGTACACACGATCTGTCTCCTTGTTGATCTCCAACGCAGGCGACGTCTCATTGTGCGTAGTAGCGTTTCGAGTCTTATCGATGTAGGTCTTGGATTCGAGGTTCTTAACCCGGATTTGCGAGATGTCCTGAGACACATTAGTAATTAGCAACGTCATGCAGCAGCGTCAGGATATAAATGGCAGCTTACATCAATGCTGAGATAGGTGTGCATCAGAACCTGGAAGTCGAAATTCTGGTTGCCCTTGTTCTGCACTTGCAGGGATGTTTCCAGACCTTCCTTGCTCAAGGTGACACTGTACAAAAGACCAAACTCATACGGCCAAGCCTTCCGGAATTCCTCGCTCAGCATAGTATGAGACAGACCGAAGTCGAGCTTGACCGAATCATCACAATCCTTCTTCCCTAGCGATTCGGATGATGACTTGCCCAGGAACTCCCAGTTGGAGTTGCGCGCAAAGCCATGCTGTGGGAGAGAGGAGGTAGCGTGGTTAGGAGGAGGAGGGCCGAAGACCTATAGCAAATGGAGGATTTCTCGGATCAGTGCTGCTGTCCAGCTGCGGATAAGGAGGTCTTCGACGTACAGGGAACACAACGGGGATGCCACCACGGATAGGCTTGGAGCCATCCAAATGAGCCTTTTCACTCATGAACAACTGTTCTCGCCCATTTGCAAGCTTCCACGAGGTGACCGTCGCTCCATACAAGTGAACAGTGACTGACTCGCCGGTGGGCAAGGTGGCCTCGATCTTGTTCTCGCGGAAGGTGATGGTGGGCTGGGGTAGTGATGCGGCCACACCAATGGCTGAGGGCTTGTTAGACCGCTCCATTTTTCGATGTCGGATTCAACGCAGATCTTAGGCTAGACTTGTGGGTTTGAGAGTCTAAAGAGCGAAGATGGTCGTTGGGCTTGTTGTGATGCGGGGAGTGCCACGACGGAACTGAGGGGAGGGCGGGGCAACAACATCATAATCATCGCCCTATTATCTCACCACATATGACTCCCTCTGACATCAAGCCAACCCACAGTCGAGTCTTTCTACCATAACCTACAGTGGTAATTGAAATAATTCGCCGCTTTGTTCAAGGTTTACTTTTCATTTCCGACTACTATACTGTCGCATCTAAGTTCTTGCTTAGAATGACCAAGAAAGCGATCTGATTGTAAAAGTACTGACTATTGCATGCCTCTAACCATGCTGCCACAGTACCGTGGTGTGTCCCTCGATACTCACGGCTTCAATCCGTCGCATCTCGTCTAGTGTCAGGCGCCAACCTAGAGCCTGCATGTCCTGCTCCGCTTGCTCACCACTCCGAATTCCCACCAGAGGAAGCACTCCCTTGTTGATACTGAAATTCAATGCCACAGCGGCCACGGGGACACGCCTCTCTTCAGCAATTCGCTCAAGCACATTCAGGGTTGGCTCAAGCATGTGCATTGGATAGCTACTGAAACGATAAGTTCGCGGAGGCTCATGGAATCGAGAGTACTTGTTCGACAGGCGGCCCTCTCCCAGAGATGCATATCCCTGAAAGACGATGCCCCTCTGGCGGCATTCACGGATCAACCCATGAACTTCTGGATGTCTTCTGATGACGGAGTACTCGCACTGGTTGACCGCTAGGGGGACGCCATGCTTGTCCAGCTCATTGGCCATTTTGATCATATCGTCTTTGTCATAATTGGCAACGCCAACGGCCCGTGCCAACCCACTATTGACGCAGTTCGCAAGACCCTGCGCGACAGTCGATATCATGCTAAGGTGGG